TTAAACTATTTCCGATCAGAAATGTTATTACTAGGACATCGTTGCTTTCTATTTTCAGAATTTACACAAGCACAACATCAGCAGCTCTTATTATGAGAACTTCTAAAATACAAACATTCGCGACAGTCTTCGGCGACAGTGTCGTATGACAGAGCCTGTCATATGACATTTTAGTTTAGTACTGTAATTTGATAGCTTGTTTTGCAAGTGTCGGAAGCAAAGGCAGTCGATTATCACAGAAAATGTGTCGACTACGGTGACCGCTTACAAGACTGCTCCTGGATTTTGAGACACTAGAACATAGGTGAACAATTAGCCACACTGATAAAATTTCAAAGATTGTTTTTATGTGTCCCACACATGAATTTTTGCAATGTGATCAACAAATGATATCGATGTGTCGGACACATACTTAATATGTGTACACATAAAAGCCATGTGTAACCACACATACTATTCATTTGACTAATAAATTTCATGTGTGTTTCTGCGTGGATTCTGTTTATGTGTGGTCACATCAAAATCATGTGAAATTTTACATGGAAATTCGTCAATAAAAATGTGTGGAATTCTATTAGTGCAGGCAGTATTTACGGCAATAGTGATACTGCGCGAAACCGACTCTCCCAGAATGTTGGCCGAATCAGAAATCTACGCTCCAGAGCGAGTTCTTCGAAATAGGAATTTCCTACATCTACATGATCCAATACAATTCATGTCTTGCGATTCACTGAATTCTACACAGCTTCAACTTCAACTGTACAGCTGAAACCTTCCGTCACCGGATCCAGCGTAGGTCAATCCTCAAAATTTACCTCTATATACAATTTTCACACTGCCGTACTCTAGCGGAACTATCAACTCTATGTTTCATCTTTTCATCTATCGTATAAAATGACCACTTTTCACTGATATTTGACGTTAAGCATCTCCAACTATGAAATTCAGTTTTACTATGATTCTATAACTCTACATCGAGTTTTGAAGAGTTGACTGTATTTGTTTTTGAATTAAACAATATACTTCATTTAAACATTAATATTATTCTACTATGTATATTAGGGTGGGTCAAGATTATAAGGCGAATCACAACCCCCTGATCCAAATTTGAACAAATTTGGTTACGATCTGGAACTGCAGTTCTCGTATAATGTGTATGGGAGATTAGATTGGGAAAACTATGCAGCAGAAAAACCTTGTCAAAGATCGCAAATTCATTTGACTTCTTTGCAAAAACTGGCCACTAAACACTGTCCCCTAACTGGTTCGTTTCACGGACTTCATCAGGGCGAAATAAAGCAATCTCCAAGACATCTAAAGTAACATTGTAAGTTTTATCAAGGTTTTAAAGCATTCTACAAGTCTAAATTATGGTTTATATAACCTAAATGCAACCCAAATTGTTACCCGGGATCAGTCATGGCATTTTGGTTCGTCGAAAAACCGTTCGATAAAGCCACATAAAATTTTCGATTTTCCTAGTGAAAATCATCACATCACACATTCGATATTGGTGCTGGAGGGCCTTAGGGCATTATCTTCTGCTCTATTTTCACGTCCGAGATCATCGCACTGCACCAAGGAATATATTTCTAAATGACAAAATGACAAGCGATCGACGAGCCGAATGATAACGCTATGTCAGCAGTGGAAAGCAATAATGATATAATCTTATCATGAAAAAAAAATGCCTTTGCAATATAGCTCGCTCGGGCCGGTACACAGTGGGACGAAATCAAAAAATGAGGAACATGGTTATTTGCGACGCTGCAACCCACTCTAATGTACATACTTGGAGAAATGGTCATGAAAACAGCAAAACGTACGTAAACATTGTGGTACTTTTAGAAAACTCATTAGGCATCCTCTTGGATACCTCTATGAATTGTGTATGTTACAGTAGGGTATAAGTTGCTGAAAGAAATTACGTTGAGTTTAGCTGCTAATACCTGCTAACCTGCAAGATACACCCCTTTAAAGTTAGTGTTGGAAAATTATAAACCCGGATGTAAATCCTTTACATGAACAAAAATGTGCATTTTTAGAGCACTTACAACTTTGTAGAACATAAAAAAAATCAAAATTCGAACTAAAAAGCTATGGTAAAAAACAGTTTTTAAGGGGGTACTACCATAGAGGTAACTCTAAGACTAGTAGGTCCAGAAGAAACGTGCTCAACTTTTTGGCTCAGCTCTGGTACTATCTTCGGTCCCAAGCTAATCGATGCACCCCTCGAAACATAGGAAAATCCACGAACCCCTCATTTTATCTGTCAAACTTTCATAGCGAACCAAAACAAACATAGTGTAGTACTAGAATTTCGACTAGAATGGGATACGTTAATCGATTTGCTTGGGACCAATAGGCTAGTCAAGTAGGGTTTTTGATCTAATTTCCGTCCTACTAAGCACAACACGCACTTTACCTCTCTTTTCTGAACGAGTTTTAACTAAAAATGGAAAATTTCTGTCAAAGATGACTTCTAAATTTATTCAACTTTCCATACGTTCCGTTAGATTCGATAAAGAGTCAAAAATTGTTGAGATATTATTTAAAATCTAATACTGCTTCTTGATTCTAAATTCGTTCTACGAGTTTCAATTCCCTCCAAACGCATTGAAACGCCATTAGATTTTCTTCGTCCTACGGATAAACGTAGAAAAAGGGGATTCGATAGGAGCGCTTCTTTTGTTTTGAGAACAATGAGCGTAAATATTCATGCAATGCGCTCTAACAGGATTTATGTTGTAGCTAATGAGTTAGCGCATCGGAACAAACCTATAATTGATTTGTGCACGTTGAAATCATTGACATTATTGATCTTTTCTGATCGATAGAACGGAAATGGGCGATTACGACGCAGTAGCGCTCTACCCTAGTGAGCCAATTTAAAATCGTTAGTTTTCACCGGTTGGTACTACCGTATGCATTCCATTTTCACTCTATACCTTCGTTCACTTGAGTGATAGCATATTGACGTCTTGTACAAAGTTTCTTAAAATGACCATCTACAATGTTTCCATAGATGATCATCAATTCCAAAAAAATTAAAAAAGTATTTTTTTATCTTAGTGTACACCCCCCTTAATCAGAAATGTTCACTATTCAATTAAAGTACTTAAAAAATTACGAAACGAAGGAAACGACCAAATTGTTGGCAAGCTTCTTCAAGAAGTAACGCCGAAGATGATACACGTGTGTTAATGGATTTTTTTTTTTATGTAGGGTTACGGTATGTAATGTGGGTCTAGTCCTTTCATTCGGCCTATCACGCAAATAAATAATTAATTAAGGAATATTACACAAAAAATAAGGAAAATATTGATCACTGATGATTGATAAATGTGTACCACACACAAATCAATTTATATCACAACATTTCAATACATTTTCAGCTCTCGTAAGTAATAAAACTGGTTGAGAATATCACTCTGTTCGGAGTTTTTAGCCGCCATGACTTCTAAGGTTAAGATGGGAAGGTTGCACTGACGATCATCAAATGGCCTGATTATGGCATTTATTGAATGGAATTACCTGATAATACACACTAGACGTAAAACTCACAGTTACTGTTTGAATATTTTATGTTTATTTTAATTGTTTAACAACGTTTTCACAAGTAAATCATGGACCCAACTTTAGGGACACATTTCTTTTCTATGTTCCTAACTTTGGCCCATGAAATTCATTTGACAGCATATAGCAATAAGAGTAACGTCAACAATGTGGTTTGCATTTGGATGATAAGGAACGAACAGGAAGGGAGATTTTTTCTGCCAAATCTGTATAATGAACATCACAATGTTTTGATTTAGATATTCTGCGGTCGAAAGACGATAAGCGAAATTTTTAATTTTTAATTTTTAACTTGAGTGATTTAATGTAGTTTTCGTAAAATTTTCTCTAAGAAATGTTTTGAGGAATGAAGAGTATTAAGTTAACAGTGATAGTGATAAAAAAAAATACATAAGAAAACGTTACCAAGAGCGTTTTTTTTTGAGAATCAAACAGGATAGGACGAAGTTGCATCCATAAATAGACCCAATTTGGGGACAATAGACCGATATTACATACATTTCCCTGGTGAGTTTTTGTCTTAAAAAAAGTAAGTTTTTCAACTTTTTGCGGTTCCTGATAGCAAACGACATGATAAGCATATCTAAGCATACCATTTAGCAGTAGAATATCGTTTGCAGGTAAATTAATTGATGAGTTATGATTAAAAACGTAATCTATGGCTGCATATTAGACCGAGGTTAGGGACGTATACCCTATTTTCTTGATTCCGATCAAGCTATGTGTATATTGCAACAAAGCATGCACAAGCAATATATAATTATCCTTCTACAATTCCGATCAAGCTATATTACAGCGACAGTTTATCGTGGTAGTGTTAGCAAGCGTTTTGTCTTTGGATTCGCTGTACTGCACTCATCTACATTCAGATCTATGTTCAGAGCATCTATAAAATCTACAACAGGACCTGAATGTTCGGGTTGAATGCTTTAACAATTAGAAAATTTGTATGAGGCGGTGGAGAATGTTTTTAATTGCCCGAAAAAAGTCCTCTAGAACATTTAAATCCAAATGTCAACTATTTGTTATTATTTCATGATACGATCACCCCATATCGAATGTTGTTGATGGCCCCCATCGCAGCATCTAGTCGTGTTCATCGAATCAAGGTGTGAAAAATATTGACGCTCTATTGACGAGATTGCAATCGCGAACGAAACCGCAACTCTAATTATTCGCTATTTTGCATTCGTTTCGTCACACTTTTCCATTTCCTCAACCGCGTCGTCGTCCCGCTCGTCGTCTCATTCTACTTCACCGCAGGAAGGTGTGAAATATCGACTGAGAGCGACAAAACATATTTGTCACAAGACCTTGCCCCATTGTTACGTATTTTTACAACACTGGTTCAGTGTCCCCCCGTCGTGCGCTTGGAAACAGCGATCTAAAAATTTTCCTCTCTTTCTCCCACCTCTCCCCCGTAGGTCTACGTGGCCCTATTCAAACCCCTCCGGGTGTCGCGTCATCAGTTCAAGAAGGTGCTCAACTGCATGAAGCTGGTCCGGTCGCTCAAGTACCAGGAGATCTACGCCCAGGAGAAGGTCACCAAGGTGGACAGCCTTTCGTTGGTCCTGTCGGGGAAGTAAGTATCCGCGAACAATCTAGTTAATAGTAGGTACTACGCGGAATCGCAACCACCCAACAAGGTCAGAGTTGTTGTGGTGGATTTGATGCGTCGCCGACGTCGCAATTTTATGACGGCAGTCACACGGCATCAACTTTACGGCCATTTAGTAAATCGTTCAACAAACGAAAACAATCTGCCTCTTGTTCAATTGAGCGAAAGTATTATTCCGACGATGACTTCAGCAGTCACTCTCAAGCCACAAGACGAGAGAGAATGTGACGCACGTGATTGACTGTCTCAACTTTTCGCAATTTCATCCGCCGAACAAAAAATACTTTCCCCGAATCACGGTTTATCACGGTTATTCCCAACTGCTCTGTGGGGTACAAGTACAAAGGCCATGCATTCGCGTAAATTGATTGCCAAAAAAAAATAAGGGGAGAGAACTTGATTGCGCCCCATATAAAAAAAATACGGCTCTAGTGCCGTAAATTTCCTAATCTACATACATATGGAACTTTCCGCTCTCGTATCTCCCGGTTCGCTTCTCGCTGATTTTTCATCTCTCTCGCGATTCGTTATCAAAAACGACTCGCATACACTCATTTCAACGGCAGCACGGACAACGACAATCAACACCACGACGACGACGAAGGTGGACGCGAAACTTTGGCTAATGCCGTCGTCATAATTTAGAGACCGATTGAAGCGGCAGGAGGTGTGCGATTCCAGATGGGAGGAAAATGCCGATACCCACCTTCCTTATCACATGCGTTCGCTTATGACTGTCGTTGGCCTAGGTCAGTGATTTTACTTTCACGAACCGCGAACGAATGACGATTTCAGTGACGTACGGGACGGTTGATGCGTGTGATTTGTATGTGAGTGTGTGCTTTCTGGTTTGAAGTAGTGGGTACTAAAGAGCAGCGTTGTCAGTATTCCGGATTTATCTGGATTTGCCAGATTGTTTGTCATCTTGCCAGATGCACAGGCAGAGTCTGTTAATTTCCTGATTTTTTTTTAAATATGTTCCAGATATTTCCAGATTTTTAAAACATGTACAGTAATGTACAGTGCTGTTCGATATAATAGCAGCGCATACCGATTTTCATACAACATGGTCAACTTTGACATGATGTAACTTTGTTGTCTTATGATCAATTGAGCTGAAACCTTCGTCACGGAACTACAAATATGTAGAATTTTACGATTACAAAATAACAAATAGTCCAAAAGTGAGATACTGGGTAAATTTTTTCGAAATAATCGCAGTTTTAATAATTTGCATTTCATCTCAATTTTGAGATTTTAAATTTTAAATTTCTCAAAATTCTAACAATCACCTAACAAATAAACAAATGTATAGAAAAGTTGAATTTTTTTTAAATATTTGTAGTACATAAATTTCCAAATCTAAAACTGCTATTATTTCGAACTATTTTACCTAGTATCTCACTTTCCGGCAGGTGCTTCCGAAAATTTTGGTATTTTGAAATCGTTAAATTGAAAATGTAGTTCTGTGGCGAACGTTTCAGCTCAATTGTCGATAACATTGCTACAACATGTCAAAGTTGTAAAATTTTGTATGAATTCGGCATGCGCTGCTTTTATATCGAACAGCACTGTACGTGTGCCTTATGTGCCTAAATGGCAACACTGCTCGCGACTTCAAATGTTTACCAAAGTTGGAATGTGAGTCACTTGGGAAAATACTGAATCACTTCAGGAAAGTTCGAAATCACTTCGAAAAGTACTGAACCGCTTCATTCGTAAAGTACTGAATGGTTTCCAAAAAATCTGTTATAAGAAAAGTAAAATAAAAAAAAACAAAGAAAAATCTGCGAAATTCTTTAAAATACCCCACAACATGGGTATTTTTGGAATCCGGGTGACGTTTAGGAACCGTAATTCGATGTCTGATAGTATTTACGAATTTTTCTGTAACCGGAAGCCGCCATATTAGATTTCAAAATGGTATCAGACATCGATTTCCGGTCTCTACGACGGAGCTACGGAGCCCAATCGCGACTGCCTGCCAGGGATCGAATAACTTTCGGAGTCGTGATAGGTCGTTTGTCTGGAGAAGGAGATCGAGAAGCTGACAACCGGGTAACTGAGCGACCTGGTCACACTGGTAGTGCCATACCATCGTCGGCCATCGCTACACGAACGAAGAGGAGCAGCAGCGACGGAATGAAGTTTCCAGGAGCCATCGAGCCGAAAGCGATGAATTGGTCACTTGATGACGTAGGCACCATGTGCATCGATGGCCAACGGTGCGCAGATTGGATCGAGAGGCAGAGTGCAGGAGCGAAGATGGTCAGGTAACGACCAAAGAGTACAGAAAATCTAGCGTTAACAAGAGCAAAATCTAGTAGATAAGAAAGAGGCTAGGGATGAATGAAAGTCATGTTTTGATGTGGGAGGAAATAAACTATCGTCAAAGGTATGCTTTGCTTGTTTTGGTGCGTTTTTGATTAGTTTTTGCATTCGAAATTCGCTTTCGGTAGATTGTCCTACTGGCTACAGGGAATGCACCAACACCGGAAGCCGCCATGTTGGATTTAAAAATGGCTGCATATCTGGATTTCCAGTCCCTACACGTTACCTCGATTCCAGAAATTCCCATATTGTGGGGTATTTGACAGTATTTCCCAATTTTTCTGTAGCCGACAGCCGCCATCTTGAATTTTAAAATGGCGTCAGACGTGCATTTCCGGTTCCTACACGTCAAGCCGATTCCGAAAATACGTATATTGTGGTTCCTACACGTCACCCGGATTCCAAACATACCCATATTGTGGGGTATTTTAAAGAATTTCACAGATTGTCTCTATCCGGAAGCCGACATTTCTGAAATGATTAAGTACTTTACGAATGAAGCGGTTCAGTCATTTGATTTTCATTTGATTTTACCCGAGAAGTGGTGCCATCTAACGGCATAAATATGAGTCATTCATGTGAAGCAAAATATTATGACACTCACGTGACATTCGTCTTCGCATCAACCGACTATCGCTGACAGATCGTTTTGTCACGCAGTGAGAGTTAGAGCCATGGCAAAAAACAATCACCAGTAATGGTCGCTGCTCACACGCAAAACGTTACACTCGCTGCTGATGATGAAAAGCACAACGAAAACAGTGAAGACTTCTGCAGTACGATCATGAGAAATAGCGAAACGACAGAAGAAAATGAAAACAATGCCTACGCATTCCAAGTTTGTCTCGGCAGGCGCCACTGTGTGAGTTACAAACAAAGCAGACAACATTAAACGGAAGCTGTTGGGCTCACTCACCAACACAGTCAAATAAGCAAGCAAAGAATCAACTGCTTCAAAACGAGCACAGATGAGTGTCATGATTGACGGAAGATGACATTCACCAGTTGCTTTTCACTTCTTTCGTCAACTTGATGGTTGGTCATGGAGAGAGCTTCGACGAGCACATTGATAGGAATGTACAAAGCATTACTACCATCAGCTGTTTGACGATCGTGATTGTGATAGGTCGCAACTCTGCCCACTCCAACTTTGCTGAACATTCGTTGTTGCTATCTTGAGACGAACCCCAGATATCGAGCTCTATTTGATTCTAATCTAGCAGTGTTGCCATGTTTTGGTAGAATTTAGAGTCATGACAACTTTGACTTTCAGCTATAGGCTGGTTCATCTCTTGACGAATATTGGGGACTCCAGAAGAGGGTCCCCCTAGTGACAGAGTTTGAAATGGCGGTGTGAAGCCAGAAGGGACCTTCCTAGTCAGGATGAGTGGACATTCCGAAAAGGATTCTCCTAGGAACAGAGTATTTGTTTATCAGAGTTGCCTGTCGTAGATGGTCCTGGTTTGGTGAATTTGATCGGCAAAGTTTCATGGTGGCATATGCACAGTTCGTTGTAGAGGTTCGCAACAGTGGGTCGGTTCTGGTTGTTTCCTGTCGGTATGGTGGGTCAGTTGTTCTTGATGAAGCATAGCACAGCTGATTCGGCTTAATGGTGGTCAGTCCATTTCTAATGTTAGTCGGGACCCCGTATAGCTCCCTAATTCCCTGGAAAGCTGGGCAATTCACTAAGAGGTGCTCTACCGTCATCGTTGTGTTGCAAATATCGCAATATTTTCGCAACGAAGTCGCACTCCTCATAGTGGCGGTTTTTTGAGTAGGTCCAGAGTGGAGACTAGAAATAATCAGTTGATCCTGGTGGATTGAAGAATCTTGCCACTTGCCACTGGTAGTTTTCCCTTTGATTTTTGGGGGAGAACGGTTCCCTTTTGCTGGCCCACTGCCGGGCCAAAGCGTTCTGAAGTTTGAACTTCACCCAAACCTCAGGTCCGGGAACGGTTTTAGTAGCGAACCATCCAGTAGCCACAAGATGGTCCACTTCACAATGTTCCGGATATCGCAGGGCCCGGGGATCCATAGGAAGGTAGCGTTCGACGGAGCCCTTGGATTCAATGATGTCTCGATGTCTGGGATTCCAAAGCTGTTAGAACACTTGCAGAGTCCGAAAGAATATAAAGCGGTTTGCTGGCTTGCATGGTAGTGGCATAGAAGATTACCACACTTTCCTCAGAGCACACGACGCACTGGTCCAGAAGTTGGAAGATACTGGCAGCGGGATCTGCAATTCCGATGCCGATTCCTCCTGTGGCCTTAGCGCCATCCGTATATCTGTGATGGTGATTGTTGCTTTTCTAGCTAAGCAACACTGTCCCTTATCCGTGCATTCGTCTAGCAACGGAGCGGTCAACGTGCAGGTTTGGTTCTGCCCATCCCCTGGATGCTATCCAGTGTAGTCTCGACAATAGGGGAGCTCCTGATGGGCCAAAGGAGGCCGCAGGAGTGGACGGTAGGAGCCCAGCTGCTATAATGATGGCTTGATTATAAGTGGGACCTAGCCGCGCAGCGAATGACCGGACCGGAAAGTGTTCGCAGCAAGCTAGCTCTTGTGCGGCAGTTGTTCCTTACATTGTTAAAATGCGGAGCGAATCTGAACGTCCAGCTCTAGAGCGCCTCAA